GACCAATGGCCCCTGCCTTTAGTGAGTACATCTGCCCCTTCCAAGTTTAATTATAACTCTTTCTCCTTATAGTTACTTTTAAGCAGAGACACTAACAAAAGACAGTGGATTCCTGCTCTTGTTTCCTGAGGATACCCAACTCTGTAATGGAGTCATTTCTAAGAAACGTGCTTCTTTCACTGTGCTCTCTGACTCACCTCAGATTTTTTTCTGCCCAAGATCTAAGAATCCTCCTTTGTGGTCTGTATCAGGACCGTCTTTTCCAGAAATATCTTTCAGCATCACCATGAAGGGACACCAAGACAAGCCTCCCACTTCGAGGAAAACAATCCACACAGAATCTCTCAGCTGACACTGGGCAAGTGGGCCGTCTTTTAGAGACGTGAAGCCATTCTGATGGGTAAGAATGATTATCCAGTATTACTTAAGTTAGAGGTCCTAGAGTGAGAGCTTCAGCCCAAAAAGTTAGAGGCCTGGAGGTGTCATACTCAGATTAGAGGCCAAGCTCACAGGGTTAGAGGCCCTGGGGTATATTGAGAAGAATGGATTTGGCTAAACAACGTGTTCGCCACTTTCTCTTTATGGACCATCCACCTTGTGCTCTCTGTGCCTCACCTGAGTGCTCTGCATCTTGTCGCCTTTCTGCTCCCTGCTCTGTGTTGTAGCAGCCCAGAGGCTGCCACAGGAAGGAGGCCCCAAACAGTTTAGCTTTTACTTTCTCAAGGAACAAAAGACTGGATTCCTGCTCTTGTTTCCTGAGGATACCCAATTCTGTAATGGAGTCATTTCTAAGAAACTTGCTTCTTTCACTGTTAAAATCGGTAAATCAAAACATATGCAGCTTCTCTAATGCTTCGTCAGGATAAAAAATTAAAATGGACTTGTATTTGTTTGACGGAGAAAAGACAGAAGAGGGACTGGACATAACTGATTACCCTTTAATGCAAGTGCCTCTTAATATTCAGCTTTTCTTGGTGGGGGCTGAACTCTCCCCTGCAAATCCAAGCACCCCATAAGAACACAGTCAGACTCCTTCCTGTTTTGGTGAGGTGTGCAACATGTTATTATTCCTTCTAGTTTTCCCTGCCCTTCGGGTCCTGTCTTACATACATACTCCACTCTTGAAAGACCCAAGTCTCACCAGAACAACTTGCAGTGGGGCCTCTTATCAGCTGGCAAAGTTGAATCTTTGCCCTCTCTCGGAAGTGGCAGATGATGATGGGGGCACTATATAGGTATGTGTACCCTTTTCTATGTCTGAATTAGCCATATGCAAGGAAAACAGTTTTCAGAGGATCCAGGAAAATTCATAGACAAACTTAAGAAGCTAACCTTGATGTATGATTTGACCAGGCAAGATTTGCATGTATTTATGTCCACCTGATGCATGGTAGAAAATCAGTGTATTATGGGAGTGGCTAAAATACATGCTAATAGGGTGGCAGCCTGCAACCAGGGACACGACACCTATCAAGTAGGAGGCACAGCAGTGTCTGACCAGGACCCCAAACAGAATTAGGACCTAGAAAAGAAAGATGAATTAGGAAGAAATTAGGATATATCGAGAAAAAAATATGATCATTTGACTCCTTGAAAGAATAAAAAAAGTGTGACAAAGCTTTTTAATTTTTATAAAGTCAGGAAAATTACCCATGGAAAAGATGAAAACCTAGCCTTATTATAAGGGTGGATAATTTAGACTTTGAGGAAATACACTAACACTGCCCCTGACTCCAACAAGGGACCAGCATTGCTAGGAGTTCATTTTATAACCCAGTCTGCTTCTGATATCTGCAGGAAGCCATAAAAAGCAGGCTTAGGCCTTCAGACTCCCATGAATCTGCATTTAGACTTGGCTTTTGCAGTTTTCAATCACAGGAATAGGGCAGAGAAAACATAAACTAAAGCAAACCTCCCAAAAGGCCCAGCTTTCAGCTCCAGCCTTGTGCTCTCCACCACTTCAGAGCCAGCCCCCTACCCCTGGCCCTTGCAGAGGAAGTGAGAAGGTAAAAGTCCCAGTTTGGGCCTCTGGGCCACTGTGCCTTGGGTATAAATCAATGTGCCTTCTGTAAGAAGGTCAGCCACTGCCGAAAGGAATGCACTGTGCTTTCAAGGGAGCCATCATCAGAGCCCAGCAGACCCATAAGTGGTAGGGCCTGATACTTCCTGCCTCCACTCCTATTGGGCTATAAGCCATTGAGAGATGACTCTTGAAGTGGCAGGTAGGAGTACTAACTTCTTATTAGATATGGGAGCAGAAGACTGTGTCCTGATTCAATACAATGGGCTCCTGTCTTCTCATGATGGACAAGCCCCTAAACACGCTTTTCTTATCTTCTAAGTTGTTCTTCAGGGCTTCTGGGTTTCTAACCTGCCTTTTTAGTACTGTCTGAATGCCTGACCTCTTACTGGGGAGAGATTTATTGACTCAGGTGACCAAGCCACAGTGACCTCCACAGATCATAAAGCAGAGAAAGTGTTATTTTTGTTCCCAACTCTTCAGAAAAAAAAAAAAAAAAAAAAGAAGTTAAGCATGAGCTGTCACATTTACCACCCGAGGTGTGGTCTCAAGTAAATCCTGAGGTTTGGGCCACACAGGCTCTGGGAAACACACTAAACACCTCCCCCATTCAAATCCAACTTCAGCCTAGTGCTCCTTGCCTTCGGAAGAGACAATACACTTTAAGGCAAGAAGCATGAGGGGAATTTCAATCCCTTATTGCTAAATTCTTGCCATATGACTTACTAAGGCCATGAGAGTCTCCTTACAACACTCCCATGTTACCAGATCAAAAGCCTAATGTGAGAACAGATTTGTCAGAAACCTTCGAGCATTTATAAATGCAGTTTTTAGCAGGGTGTGGGGGCTCGCGCCTGTAATCCCAGTACTTTGGGAGGCAGAGGTGGGTGGATCACAAGGTCAGGAGATCGAGACCAAGCTGACTAACATGGTGAAAACTAGTCTCCACTAAAAATACAAAAAAATAGCTGGGCATGGTGGCACATGCCTGTAGTTCCAGCTACTCGGGAGGCTGAGGCAGGAGAATCACTTGAATAAAATAAAATGAAATAATAAAAAAGTTAATGCGGTTGTTGTCTCCATACACCCCATTGTTTGCTAGCCGAACTAAAGAAGACTTGGACAATAATACTGATAAATTTCCTGGCAACTGGCAGATATAGGGTATCACTATACAGGGCTCAGATTTTGACTCAAAGACTCAAATATTTGGCATTTGTCTTAATCTCTGGAACTGATAAACATCCCTAGGAGGAAAAAAAAAAAACAAAACTTTTTTCATCATCTAAGAGTCCCAGTCTAACAAATGACTGAGGGCCTTTTTAGGGGAGGCTGGACACTGCAGCTTATGGGTACCCAGATTCGGATATGCAGCCAAGCCTTTATATGATACACTGAAAGGGAAAGATTTAGAGCTCCTCAAATGTAATTAGAACTGCAAGCCAAACTTTGATAGTCTCAAAGAGAAACTGGGCTCTGCTGCAGCCTTGGGAATCCCCAAGTCGGATGAACCATTTTGTGGCCAAAAGCAAGGCATAGGCCTTGGGTAATCTTGTCCCAAAAATGGGGACTATTCCAAGGCCAGTAGCTTACTTTTCTAAGCAGATAGGCCAGTTGGCTTGAGGGTGGCCTGGATGTCTTAGAGCTGCTGCTGCTGCTACAACTTTTCTAGTAGGCCAAGCTAATAAACTAACATTAGGACAGCACCAAAAGGTTTCTGACCCTACACCAAGGGAAGGTGGTCCTAGAAACTAAAGGGCACCAGTGGATAACAGGAGAACATTTATAAAAGTATTGTTGCTAGACACTCCAGACATAATTAAAGTCTACCAAATCATAAACCCATCTACTTATCCGGCAGAGTCCACAGGTGCTCCCAGCCTTTCTGGCATACAGGATGTATTAGTTTGTTCTCATGCTGCTAATAAACACACACCCGAGGCTGGGTAATTTATAAAGGGAAGAGGTTTAATTGACTCACAGTTCCACATGGCTGGGGAAGCCTCACAATCATGGCAGAAGGCAAATGAACAGGAAAGTCACATCTCTTACATTGCAGAAGGCAAAAGAGCTTGGGTAGGGAAATTCCTCTTTATAAAACCATCAGCTGTAATCCCAGCACTTTGGGAGGCTGAGGCAGGTGGATCACCTGAGGTTAGGAGTTCAAGACCAGCCTGGCCAACACAGTGAAACTCTATCTCTACTAAAAATACAAAAATTAGCCGGATTTGGTGGTGGGCACCTGTGAGGCTGAGACAGGAGAATCGCTTGAACCCAGGAGACAGAGGTTGCAGTGAGCCGAGATCGCACGACTGCACTCCAGCCTGGGCAACAGAGTAAGACTATATCTCAAAAAAAAAATAAATAAAAATAAAATCATTAGATCTCATGAGCCTTATTCATTGTCATGAGAACAGTATGGGAAAGACCTGCCCCCCCCATTCAATTACCTCCCCCTGGGTGCCTCCCACGACACACGGGAATTATGAGAGGTACAATTCAAGATAAGATTTGACTGGGGACACAGCCAAACCCTATCACAGGTTATGAATCGAATTTATTCTAGCAGGCCAGACTTAGAGAGATGAGTCCCTTGACCATCCCAAGGAAGAGTGGGTAATAGACACAAGTTATTTTATGCATCAGGAAAACAGGAGGGCTGGATATGCTCTTATTAGTCAGCACAAGATAACCAAGACACAAACCTTGCTGGCCTCTACCTCAGCTCAAAAAGCTGAGTTAATTGAACTTACTAGAGCCCTGCAGGTTGGGAAAGGATTTCGAAGTTGACATTACACTGATTCTACCTATGATTTTTGAGTGCTTCATGCTTATGCTGTAGTTTGGAATGGGCAGGGACTCCTGACCACCAAGGGCTTTTCCATACAACATCACTCAGATTTTGAGCTTATTAGAATTCTGCTTTGCTGCCAAAAAAAAAAAAAAGTGACTATAGGGGAACCGCGGCTTAGGTGCAGACATGGCCAAGTCCAAGGACCACACCACACACAACCAGTCCAGAAAATGGCGCAGAAATGGTATCAAGGAACCCCGATCACAAAGATACGAATCTCTTAAGGGGGTGGACTCCAAGTTCCTGAGGAACATGTGCTTTGCCAAGAAGCACAAGAAGAAGGACCTAAAGAAGATACGTGCCAACACCACCAAGGCCATGAGTGCACGTACTGAGGCCATCAAGGTCATCGTAAAGCCCAAGGAGGTTATGCCCAAGATCCCAAAGGGTGTCAGCCGCAAGTTCAATCAACTTGCCAACATTGCCCACCCCAAGCTTGGGAAGTGTGCTCGTGCCCGCATTGCCAAGAAGCTCAGGCTCTGCTGGTCAAAGGCCAAGGCCAAGGATCAAACCAAGGCCCAGGCTGCAGCTCCAGCTGCAGTTCCAGCTCAGGCTCCCAAAGGTGCCCAGGCCCCTACAAAGGCTTCAGAGTAGATATCTCTGTTTGCCAACGTGAAGACAGAAAGACTGGTGTGACCCCCCTCCCACCCTGGGCTGCCGTCTGCATGGGGCTGGGGTCCTCCTGTACTATTTCTACAAATAAACCTGAGGTAGGAAAAAAAAGTGACTATAATTCATTGCAGAGGACATCAAAAGAGAGATTGACTGTGTAAAAGGGAAATGCCCATGGAGATGCAGCAGCCAAGGTCACTGCACTGAAACGGCCAATGAAAGCTATGGGCATGCTGGTCAGCATACACAGAGCTGGGCCAGAATCCTCTGAAGAAGAACAAAAATAGGCCAGGGATCGCAGTTTAGTCCAGGACCCCTCTGGCTGGCTAACTGATGGTAATAAATTACCAATGCCAAGTACCAATTGTAGGAAAATAAGCACTTTCGTGACTCTTTTCACCCTAGAAGGGATTCTTTCAGTTCATGTCTCATTTGTTTATGGGGATACATCTTTTCAAGACACTAAAGCAGGTGACTCAGCCCTGCGAGCTCTGTGCCTAAAATAACCCAAACAGCCGGCAATTTTCTCTTCCTCCAGTTAAACCTGTCCAACATTGAGGAACCTATCCAGGTGAGGACTGGCAACCCTAATTTCCTCAGATGCCCCTCTGCAGGAGAGTCAAATATTTGCTAATGCTTACTGATACCTTCACTGGTTAGATCAAGGCATTCCCCACCCTATCTGAAAAGTGTTCATCAGAAGAAATAATACCTCCGTTTGGGTCATCTAAAAGCCTGCAAAGTGACAATGGCCCATCTTTTCACAGCAGGCGAATCCCAACACCTATCCTCAGCTTTAGAATCACCGTCCCTCTGCGTGGAGACTGCAGTCTTCTGAAGGTGAAAGGGCTAATCATACTCTAAAGAAGACTGGCTAAATCAGAGGCCTGACTATCTCTAACACCCATAGCTTATTGAGGGTTTGAGCTGCTCCAAAGGAAGACTTATAATTAAGTCCTGTAGAGTTAACATAAGGAAGGCCTTTCCTAACCACAGATCTCCTAATAGATAAAAGGACTCATCAATTACAAAAATGTGTCATCAGTCTAGGATAGGTGCAAAGGCACTCTGTGAAAATGGAAACAAAAGTCTTCCCCTCCCACATGGGAGGAAATCCCAGTTTCAGCTCAGCTAGGGTTTTACTCTTACCGAAGACATGGGAGGAAGTTCTCCAGCTGACCAGCTTTCCCCAACGTGGAAAGGACAGCAGCAAGGTCACCTGAACTCTCCAACAGACGCTAAGCTCCAGGGGATTCACAGGTGGTTACACCTGTGTGGAAGCAAAGCTGTTGCTTATTCTGTGAGCCCAATTCGAGGCTGGGGGTGGTGGGCGTGGGGCCATTTAAGCATTGGTGGCGTGCGGGCTCTGCCTCTGCACGTCTGTTCCTCCTAGCGTTTCTCTTGCCTCCCTAGTCCATCCTTGGCCTTGAGGGAGCTCGTCCTCATGCTGCCCTGACAGTGCGGGAACCAGATTCGCACCAAGGTTGGTGGCTGGGGTTCTGAGGACCCAGAGTTGGCCTGCTGGTTGGCTGGGGAAGATGTTGGCAGTGGTGGGGGTGGTGCCCCTGCATTGCTACCCCTCAGTTCCCTGCCCAGGATGTGGTGGAGCTGGGCGGCTGGTGAGGTGGCCAAGGTGGATTCCCAGGGACCCGGCGGCTTGGGGTTGGGGTTGGGGTTGAGGTGGGAGTGGGAGAGAGGCTGGGGCACCTCCAGCTCCCTGGCCTCCATGACCCAGCCCTGGCCTGTCTGGCTCCTCCTGTCTCTTGCAATTCTGGGAGGTGATCTCTGATGAACATGCTATCTACCCTGCTGGCACCTATGATGGGGACAGCAACCTGCGGGTCGAGCGCATCAACGTGTACTACAATGAGGCCAGCGGTGAGGCCCCAGTCCTTTCCCCACCGCCCTCCTGCAAACGGCCGCCCTCCTTTCGCTGATGCCCTCCCATCCCCCTCAGGTGGCAGGTATGTGGCCTGCACTGTGCTTGTGGATCTGGAGGCGGGTAGCATGGACTCTCTGTGCTCCGGGCCCTTCGGGCGGATCTTCAGGCTGGACCACTTCATCTTTGGTGAGCTGCGGGTGAGGACGGGGGTGCAGCTTCTTAGCCAGGGCAGCTCAAAGTCAAGGAGTACCCCAAGGTCACCGCTGTAAGAACTGTGGAGCCAGGGCCCCTGAACACCCTCCTATGAGCTGAGTCACTCAATCTGCCTCTCCTAAACGGACTTTGGGAGACAGCCCAGCTGTCTCCACAAGGTGAACTGCTGCTGATGTAATCCCCCTGCAGGAAGCTGAGCTGGGGCCTGGCTGCTGCCTTTCCTGGGAAAGGGCAGGAACCACATGCAGGGAGGTCTGTTGTTGGGCTGTTTCAGGTTTCACTTCTGACTTAATTTCTAACAGGGGAGGCTGCTGTCCTGTAACTTTGGGGGAGGAGGTTCCACATGCTCCACCTGCAGGGTAAATGGTGCTTTCACCTCACATGTGACACTTGGCCCTTTCTGCATTGTGATGGTGACCACTGATGACCTGGCCACCGGGTAACTGGCTGTACCGTCTTACAGGTCAGTGTGGGGCCGGGAACTACAGGACCAAGGGGCACTACACAGAAGGTGCAGAGCTGATGGAGTCGGTGATGGACATTGTGAGGAAGGAAGCCGAGAGCTGTGACTGCCTGCAGGGTTTCCAGCTGACCCACTCCCTGGGTGGGGGGAATGGGTCTGGAATGGGTACCTTTCTCATCAGTAAGATCAGAGAGGAGTACTCAGACAGGATCATAAACACATTCAGCATCCTGCCCTCACCCAAGGTGTCAGACATGGTGGTGGAGCCCTATAATGCCACCCTCAGTCCACCAACTCAGAAAATGCAGATGAGACCTTTTGCATTGACAACGAAGCTCTCTGTAACTTCTGTTCCACAATCCTCAAACTACCACACCCACCTACAGTGACCTGAATCACCTGTGACTGCTCTTCCCAGGCCAGCCGAATGCTGACCTTCGGAAGCTGGCCGTGAACACGGTCCCATTTCCCTGGCTGCACTTCATGCCTGGCTTTGCCCCCGCTGACCAGCTGGAGCAGCCAGCAGTACCTGGCCCTCACTGTGGCTGAGCTCACCCAGCAGATGTTTGATGCCAAAGTATGATGGCTGCCTGAGTCCCCTGTCATGGCCACTACCTAACAGTGGCTGCCATTTCCAGGGGTCACATGTCCATGAGGGAGGTGGATGAGCAAATATTCAATATTCAAAACAAGAACAGCCGCTGCTTTGCTGACTGGCTCCCCGACAATGTAAAACAGCTATCTGTGACGTATCACCCAAAGGGCTAAAAATGTCAGCCACCTTCATCAGCAACAACAGCCATCCAGGAGCAATTCAAGCATGTCTCAGCAGTTCATTGCTATGTTCAGGTGTAAGGCCTTCCTGCACTGGCACATGGGTGAGGGCATGGACAAGATGGAGTTCACCAAGGCCGAGAGCAACATGAATGACCTGGTGTCTGAGTACCAGCAGTACCAGGAAGCCACAGCCGAGGAGGTGGCCTAGAGCCTTCCCTTTCTGGGTAAAGGGGGAAAGCAGTGTGGGTTCTTGAGTGTGTTCTGATAGCCATGGGCCACTACCACACTTGTTCTTTGTGTGTTCACATCTCCTGTTGCTTTTAAAGCACTTCCATAGTATTTGGTTTTGCCTAATAAAGTATTCTTGTAGCATCTTGTTTCACCTCCAACTTCTTTCTATGAGCCCTCTGGGTACGCTGCCAGATGGGCATAGTGGAACAGCAAGGCTGCAGCTGTCTTGGGTTTATCACATACCCAGGAATAAGCATTCCAGTGGCCCTTGGAGGGGTCGGCTGTGGACAAGGCAAGTGGCAGGCAGCAGGCTTCACAAGAACTTGGGGCTGTCCTGGGCCTTGGGCAGCTACTTGATGGGAAACCTATTCCTGAAGGCAAGGGTTGGCTTATCCCACGTACTGAACTTCCGGGGGACCAGCTGGTCCTCTGTTTCTGAAGCCTTAAACGTGGCCAGTGACCCAGGTGGAATGTCCCTCTTGCATTCCTGGGATAAGTCCCACCTGGTCATGGTGTAGACCACTTTTAGTGAGCTGCTGACTTTGGTTTGCCAGTGTTTTTGTGTCAGTGTTTTGTTCAGTGTTTTTGTGTCTATGTGCATAAAGGATATTGGTGTGTAGTTTTCTTTGCTTGCAGATGTCTTTGTCTGGCTTTGGTATCAGGGTAATACTGGCCCCATAGAAAATACTAGAAGTATTCTCTCATCTTCTATTTTTTGAAAGGGTTTATGAAGGATTGGTGTTATTTCTCCTTTAAGTACTTGTTAGAATTCATCAATGCAGCCACCAGGGCCTTTTTGTGTATTTTTTAGTATAATATATATATATATATAACAAAACTCACAATTTTAACAATTTTTAAGTGTACAGTGCCATTAAGTATATTCATATGGTTGTATAACCATCACCACTATCCACCTCTAGAATATTTTCATTATTCCATACTGAAACTCTACCCACTAAACAGTAACTGCCCGTTCTCCCTCCCCCCAGCCTCTGGTATCCACTGTTCTACTTTCTGTCTCTGTGTTGGGAGGTTTTTGATTACTGATTAATCTCTGTACTACTTACAGGTCAATTGAGATTTTCTATTTCTTCTTGAGTCACTTTTGGTAATTTGTGTTTCTAGGAATCTGTATGTTTTGTCTAGATTTCTAATTTGTTGGAGTACAATTTTTCATAGTATTGTATTAGAAATTTAAAATTTCTGTAAGGTCAGTAATGTCTCCATTTTCTTTTTGATTTTAGTTATTTGCTATTTTTCTGAGTCAGTCTAGCTAAAGGTTCATCAAATTTGTTTTTCTTCAGTGAATCAACTTTTTTTTTTTGAGACGGAGTCTTGCTCTGTCACCAGGCTGGAGTGCTGTGGCGCAATCTCAGCTCACTGCAACCTCCACCTCCTGGGTTCAAGTGATTC